CGTGAATACTTTGCATATTTGAACGCAGTCAAATATCAATTCAGTCAATAATTATTACTCCAATAAAATAAATATTCCGCCGATCGCTCACTGCGATTGACGAAACAACTACTCGATGTCCAAGTAATAATTAATAACTTCCAAGTAATTAATAATAACACTATCAAAGATACTTATACCAAATGATTCTTTGATAATGCTTCAACAGGGGCACATCACTATGCGTTACCAGTATAATTGCTCATCATTAGGACGATTCAAAATGTGCTATCAATGAATCAAAGTGTGAATATTCGATGATATACAAAAGAGGATTAATATGTTCATAGAACAGGTTGCAAATTTGAAAAGCGAATGCGCCATTGAATAGCTGATATTATGAAAGAGTTGAGTCTGGCGAGCTGCTAGTTTATTGCTGCCTACTCGATATTTTGAGTATCACTGGAGGTGTTTTTTCGGCAGATTTGATGTCACATCGTACGTTGAAATATCTTATCATGTCGTTACAGTCATCCTAAACATTTAATTTTGAAGCACATAACATCTCTGGAACCATTATTGATGGGAGCAGTCTCTGATTGCTTCCAAGAGGACGATATCTTGCGACGATATGCATTACTGCCACTTGAAGCATCATTCCTATTTCTTTCACTGACGCATTTCTAGTAATGTCGTGTTTTTCATCAAATTCCGAGACGTTTCACTGCCAATTTCAAGCTGAGGGATCGAAGAACTTTCAGTATCGAATTTCATTTAGAGATGAGCATTTTGATATTAGTTTACATTGTTGCTGCTTGAGGAGGCGTCGAAATACATAATATACCAGCGATTCCATGTAAGCTTAGCGTTCAGAAAATTTTTTAACATGAAGTGTATATTGAAGTCTTTTTTAACGCCAGGTTGCTAGTGAGCACATTTTTTCTAAATGAATGATAATAGTGATGGAAATTTTGGAAAATAGAGTTGTTTACGGTCTATTCCAATGATGCTGCCAACTTCGTTGAAATCACCGATCAAAAATACAAGTCAGTATATCCGATCGGTAAAAATTAGGGTTTGTACAGGATCCCGGAATTAGAGTTCTGACCTTGATCCCAGGATTTAAATTTTGAAAGTCCCGGGATCTCAGGATTTGATGAAGCAAGTCGCTTCATACGATTTTGCCAATAATTTCATTTCAAATCACGTATTAATCATTCCCGGATTATTCAGATGTAGTAAAATGCATTAAGCATCATCTTTTTCTGAACACGATGTTGAAAAAATTTATAAAATGCTTCGGTGAGATTGAGCAGACCCTTGTCGCTCTACAACTCCCATACGAACTCAGTGAGCACGATCGGAGCGAATTAACAGACTAATGCAATGCACTGGTGGTTCTCGAAATTGCTACGAACACATTGTGTTGTCGAGATATCTATTTGTTCAAAGCAGATAAAACGCTGGGATTCTTCGTCGATGCATTGAAGAAATTGAATACGAATATCGCTAATGATCTCTTGTGTGCACTTGTGGCAAGAATCAACGAGCGCAGAATAACAGTTCTGGTGCACTTGATGAGATATATGAGCGGTCCTGATTAATTGCAGACGGGAACAGATTATATGGAATATGCGATTGTGAGAGAAAATATTGTGAAATTGATGGTGGATTTGTCTTCGAAACTCTTCGGTAGGAATAGAGAACAAAGAGAATGACGCTGCATGTCTCTTCTATAGTAACAGACTCTTCTCAGAATACGATTGATGATGATATACCTCTCTCGAGGAAATTAGAATTGATGTTGAATCCTGAAACTTCCGAAAAATATGAAAGTTCCGTCAGCCGTGAAAGAAGCAATGACGTTAAAAGCAGAGTAATCTCTGAAATGCATTTGTACGACGAGACAAAGGAAATGGCATATGAAAAAAATGTATATGAAAATGTATATGAAAAAAAATCGAATATGAAAAAAATGTACAAGTTTATCTAAACGATCCCAGCAACGAGGGTCGAAAGTGAGCGCGCTTTCTCAACGTTTTCCTTTTTTTTTCCAAAACCGAAAACGCGAATGAGCGATGGAACCATTGACGCTTTCACGTTTCTCACAATCAGAGCTTATTTCAAACAGCACTGAATACATCGAATAATAACTGTTGAATGATCGTTGAATAACCGCACTGAATTATATGCTTCACGTCATTGAATAATCCAATGAATGAAAATTCGTTGAATAATTTGTTGAGTAATACGAGCATTAATTGTTGCGTCTTCGATTTGTGTTTGAATAATCGTTGTTAATGTTGTATTTGATGAATGTTTTATTGAATAAACTCTTTTCTGGTTAATTATGATCCAATAGATTCAAAAAAATGAGTACAAACATATCACGCATCGACATTTCAAAAGTTGTTCGATGCCGGAATTGAAAAAACGTCGGGATTTTGCAAACCCTAATAAGAATGTTGAACTCATTAAAAATCATTAGAATTCATTGAAGTCGAACCCTTAACTAAAATTATTTGATGTAATTTATGCATTGTTCGGAATGGATTCCACTTGCAATCCAGAGTTTGAGTCTTATCTGACTTACTCCAAATCTGCGTTTACACACACTCATAATTATGATAATGCTATTAACAAGGAGTACGTATTCTGTTGTTTACCGCAAACGCTTCACGATTTCATTTCGCCCGTGCCCACTTCTCCACTTTCAGCAAATGGCAACTCACCTCTCAAGGTCATCTGCCATTTTCACTTTAAATCTTGAACAAATCTCGTCTCATTTACCACTCAAACGGTTTTCGCTATTTATTGCCGTTGACATCGTGATTTGTTCGTCATTCTTGCAAAAACATTTTTGCGTATGTATCAGTTGTAGAATAACTGCGGTTGCACGCATACGACCAGTGGCAAAGTGTCAACGTAGCATCGGGCAGTGACAGTCGTTTTGCTGCTTGTTGCAGATGAATGAAAGTTTAGATGTACTGTGCGGAGGGATGATGAGTCAGGTTTTTTTGTGAATTGAGTTATTGTTATTCGTGTTCGTCACTTCAGTTAAAGATGATGATGGATAGGTCTCCGTCAGAGTTGAGGTTGCTACCCGGTCCCACTGGAGGTAGGCAATCGTACTTTTGTTTGATTATTTTTTAGTCGTTTTATATTTGAAGCATTCATTGCTGTTTAGTGAGCACAGTATGGACCGATATTCAGTATTATCATTTTTTTACAGATAGAAGTTGTTCTGTTTCGTTTTGCTGTCAATGTATTTCCAAATTCTGAATGACCTAGAGGTAATTTCCAGTGACTGAGTCGATTCTTTTGGGATGCTAAAGTTTTTCATGACCGGAAGTTCATTACTATCGATATAGTCGGAGATTATCGTTTGGTAAGGTGGTGAACTGTTTAAATTGATGAGGCATTAAACAGTGTCACGTTATTTTAAGTGAAATACGATGATGCTTTAATGACATTAACTGTTCACTTGGTTGTGATGGGGATACGAGGGAAAACGTTTGCACGTGCTGCAAATACGGATGTACATCTGAAATACGACGATCAGTAGGTTTCGCTTCATTTATTGTGATTTGTTTGATGTTTTTACTTATGTTATATTCGTTGATTACCTGATATTTATTCATTCGTTGCTGGAGCACTTTCGACAATATTAACTTAATTTTGATGATCAAAAACCGTTCATGTAATTTATCGATTATACACTTTTTTGATGATACTTATAGAAAGGTTAGTGCGTAATAGTACTCACCTGTGTCGTATGAATTTTAGTTTGATAAATTTACATAGTTGTTCTAGTGGCATCAATAATAGTATAATATTATCATCTATTTCATAGATTAACATTTTCTACGAATTTCATAACGTGATTTCGCCACCTCCACTAATTATTGTCCTCAAAGTTTAACTTTGCTGCCCATCTGCAGGAATTTTCTGAGCCCTAGGTTGCTGCACATCCTTTATCCATTGGGTTGACCGCCGTTCCTCCCTTCTCGCATTTTCTCTAATAAGGACCTCGCTTGCTTAGTACCGCTAGACTCCGTGGATTTTTAATTCTGTGTGACGTATGATTTTCCAGCTCGTCCTCTTTATATAAGGAATTTCTTCGAGCGACAGTTCATTTGTCTAGAAATGTTTGTTCAGCACTGTCGATGAAGTCCTTTTTATTGTTACCTTCTCGTCGATCATTAGTCATAAAATGCTATTCTCTTTTCAGAAGTTTCAGCATTTTGCTGGAAGTATTCAAATTGAACAAAAAGGCGAAGCCACCAATAAAGGATGTATTGGATACCCGCTTTTACGAAATGGAGAAGTGCCCAGGCAAAATAACAAAATGTGAATATAAATTGAAGAAAAATCAGTGCATTTTAACACTTCACAAGGCTGCGCCTGCTTTATGGGCTAATATTCTGTCACTGTGAATGATTTGTCTGCGGTTTATTCGATTCGTTTTGGATTTATTAAGTTTAGGTTTAATTATTGCTGTTTTGGTTGTTTTTTATTTGCTATTCTTATGATGATGATCGTGTCCTTATGATTAATTCATTACCGCATTCAGTATTTGTTGTCATGTTAATCTCGTTGTGATTGTTGTCAAGCTTAATTGAGTCATGGCCGCGAGCAATTCATCATGATCTTGTTCTCGCATTGATGGTAGTCAATTGTAATCACTTTTCGATGCGAAGAGATAGTTGAAAGTGATGTGTTGTGTGGATATTGTCGATCCACGAACTCAGTCTTCTCTATGAGTTCTGAAGTGAAAATCGCGAACTGTTTCNTTATAATCGCTTTGAAGTGCTTCTCGTTCCCATCTACCATCTGTTTTCAGTTGTTCCCTAATACTCTGTTGTTAGTTGAATACCCATCGAGTGAATTAATTCTATTACTCCTATGGTTGTGTTTCATATGTATCACTTGTTTGTATTCATCATCTAATCAAAAAGCTTTCGAAACCATTCGCCCTAAGCGAATTTCTGATGCATTATAAACCACTGAATTTGTATTTAATTCGATCTCTGCCCATTATCGGTTCATAATATTAAAATATTAATAAAAGGACATCTCACTTGAACGACCCTCATTGTTCTGAACTCCAAGAAGCATAATATCTACCGAAAACAATTCTTACAGAATAATCTTTACAGGATCGTGAGGATGAGTTGTCATGGAAACCACAATCTGTAATATGAACACATTATCGATCAATTTAAATCACTGCTGTTCAGTACGTTGTGGCGTCCTAAAATGAGACTGAAATTCTGTTCTAGAAAATGTTTGATTATCAATGAATTGATGATTACAAGGAGCCCGCGTTCAAATTTAAGCCTAAGGCCAAGGACAAGCGTAATCCTAAGGCTTAGAGTTAGCTTGAGACTAACTTTAAATTAGTGCAAAGTTTTGAGTTGTCGACATTCTCTGCTAGCGGCGAGGAGGCGCGATGTAATGCTTAATTTCGTTTCACATCCGCCCAGTTCACAGAAGCAGTTTTCACGTAAGCTATGTTTGTTGTAACCGAATAATGAAAGTAAGAATTTCTTAAACTTGCAAAAAACAGAAGATAAGATGTGAAAAGACTTTGAGACTGCATGTTTGATTAAAATTTATTGATTAGTAACAGCTTGGCGTAATTACAATGTTCGTTGCGGTTAGTAATAGAAACAAGAAGAAATATGTTATCAAATGTCTTTCAGTTTGCTTTAACAATTTTTTCATGCGAAGGAAACAAATGAGAAATGATTTAAAAGAGTGAATGGAATGCAAACGTGTCTGATGCCGTTTATTAAATGCTGCATTGCAACAAACGTTATCGAGCGAACTTGTATCAGCACAGCTAGAATGCATCCTACTTTATCTTTCCCAAAAACGGAAAAAACACGAAAAATATCAAACATCCCATACGAAAAATACCAACTTCCTTGACATTACAACATAATTAATCATTCGGTTTAATCGCTACTTAAGGCAAATAATGGAATGAATAAAAGTTCCAGGGATCACAAAAAATCATCCATCGTAGCAAATCTTTAAAAAGGGACCGCGGTAGAGAATTCATTGCACCACAGGAACGGATTAGAATGCATTGCGTTGAACAAAAACTGATAAAAATAAATACACAATTAATTAAGCAACGAACAAATGACTGCAAATAAATACATAAGCAAACAAATCAATGAATAAATGCACAGTGTGGAGTATCAGTCACTGCACTGATTATCACCCTTCGTTTCAACATAATTCCGTAAAGCACGACATGTATCATTTTTTGGCAGGAATCAACCCTTATATAAGCAAATTTCAATGAACATGACAATGAAGAATTAAAATTCACAGCGAAAGAGACGTATTAAGCAAAAAACAGCAAAAAGAAATATCAACTGAAATATGCTTCAAAAAACAGTTATCTCAAGACCATATCGANTCAAATTCAAAACTTAAAAATCACAATTTATTTTTCAGTCTTCAAAATTCATCCATTACTGGGAAGTGAACTGGCTTTTAGTGGTGCATTTATAAAAATTTCCACATTTTTTCTTCATCTATTTCATGAATTTCCTGATGTGAATGAACTTAAAGGCACATTCGGCCCACCAATCATCACTCCATAAAGCACGATATGTAGTTCATTCCATAAAGCACGATATGAAAAATACTTGCACAAATAAAATTGTGCAAGACTACAGATTGCACATAATAAAAAAATGCTCTCAAAAGAAACGAACCGAAAATTACTTATTCATCAACCGAATTGTAGAGTAAAATGGCACAACAAACAGCGAATGAGCCCACAACGAAATAGAATCCAATATGTACGTTATCGAATAAGAACAACGATATAATAACCACAAGAATAATGCTCACTGCTGATGCAAAGCTTTTATATAAATTATCCAAATATTTCATCACCAACGATATGTAAATGCCACCTATAAAACAAGTGTTCTCATCATCTCCAATCAAATAATATGACTTCTGGATCGGACCACGATGTGATCTAATTTGATGCTAATAAAACAATGCAGTATGAACGACTGACATATTAAGTAACAAATAAGATGAATTATCAAAAATCAAAACGAACCAACACTCAGAAAGGCAATAATTGCAACCACTTTATAACTGTAACCATGAAAGAAACCATTTCGGATGATCGCATCAAATTCACCTAAATAACACGCTACTGAAGCGCTTACCACACCACAGCTGTACATCTGTAGATTACGGATCCAAAGTGGTGTACTTGTGCCATCCTTTAACATCATCTCGAAATACACACCTTCAATGTTTGTGAAATCACTTGATGTTTTATTTTTATCAGCATTATTTTATTAATTCATTCGTACTGAATAACACTTCATCATAAACGATAAATTCAGTACAATATGTTCTAGTCAACAAAATACTGAGAAAGCACTATAACTGACAAGATAATATGAACAGAACACATAAACTGACCGGCGAAGCCAGCTGTGACACAAGTCATTAAAACTGCCATCAAACCAAATAGATAATTGTCGGAGGATGGTTTTGCTTCCTTTTGTCCTTGTACCACATTTACCTGAGAAAGAACTGCTGTAGAATGAACAACAAAAAAAATTCTATAAACAGTAAATAAACAAGAAACAAATAAAGTCATAACGAGAAAGGGACAATATGATTAGAAGAAACAAAATGAGAAATGATCACATCAAAAAAACAAACTTGAACTGCTGCAACGCCGATAAATAATAGAGTGATAGCAATCCATCTACGCAACGAAAATTTACGTCCTAATATTAACATCATGAAAATTGCTGTGGTTACCACTTTTAATTGAGTCGTTACCTGAAATTATCATTCTTTATATTAATTTGGTGTAAATATTCGAATAATTTACGAAAATAAACAATGAAAAACATACCTGATAAGTGCCAGCATCGAGGTTTGAGAGAGCGATGAAATCAAGATTGTTTTGTATGGCATACATTATCGACGGCACACTCATTTTTATCAGTTCTAACGGTTTTCCAATATAGTCGTCGGATATACACTTAAAATGAATGCATGTTCTCATACAAGACTGAGCGATGATTAATATTTCATTCGTTGCTTATGAATTTTGTTATCGAATATGACTGAGCAACTAATAATATCAACCTCAGAATACAACAAACTCATTTTGCGAATGGTTCACAGTTGATATTAGTATGGGTTGATATTACTGTTTTGCAGAATTTCATTCCATTAACGTACGAAAATCAATTTCTTTCCGCTAAACTGGAAAAAATACGTAGAAAACGATAGAAAGAACCACGTTAAGAAGAAGGAACTACAATTTTCTGATGAAACTGTGTGGTAGAGTAATAACATTAAAGAATAATGCTCGCTAACCTTAATGAATTCAGACAGCTTCGAGTTCTTCATACGGAACAGGAAGAGCAAAGTTATCAATAACTTTACAATTTCAGACATCAATACGACAGTTGTGGATGAATACAACTTAAAATTAAATCACACTCAAACATTAGACGATCATCCAACACAAACATTCGACTAGAAAACATTGATATTTCCCTTGGGAACAATAAAAATATTAATACCATTTTTTTGGAAATTCTGCAAACACTGGCATCGCCTTTGAAGATATTGATCAGATTGAAGGAATTGATTAGTAACGAACCTTTGATCTGGGTGTAGTGGAACGAGTGAACCTCACCGCAATTGTGTAGCCGGTCCATATAAAAGTCATCGATACAATAATATAACACCGAAATAAATAATTCGATGACGACGATGATGTTGGTGTATGTTCAACATCGAGTTTACTAACCAAAGTAGCATCGTCCGGTAAGAGTTTGTCCAATAAGGAACTATTCCGAGACTCTCGACGAGTACGTTTATCATTCATCTGTCAATTGAACTCACTGCCCGTGCTGCTGAAGGTAGCAAAACGCCGAAACGTTGAACATTATCTTGCTGTGCATGTAATCTTTTATCAACAACATAACGCCAACGTCTTGATTCATCTGTTACGTCATGCAGTTTATAAATCGAACCACTCATAACATCAAATTTTACGCATGCAGTAAAACATATATTCAGCGTTACCTACTACAACTAGACGTTTTTAAATGAAAGTTTAACAAAATCACCACCAACTACTCATAATCAACAAGAAAATAGAGTGCACATGGAGTTTATCTAGCATTTATAACAATACAATATCGTTGCCACGTATTACACATGGCATTAACGGAAATTGCCAACCATCAGCGTAAATCTTGTAATGTCATAGTTTGAGTGAGCAACACGTGCGAGCTGTACGAATGAAATCGCTCGCTTGCTGAAATAAATGAAAGCAAACTTAACGTATTTCTTGAATGCTGGAGTATTACTGGTTTCAAATGAAGGGTTACCGAGCAAACGATGAATTCGAATGCACAAAACTTTGCACCTTACCGCAGGAAACGAAACAGGCTTAACAGTGCGTAACTGTTCTTATGTCATTTTTGTATTATCAACTTCAAATCCTTCATACGTGATTCTCATGAAACGTTGCGTTTGAGATCGTGACGGTCTTATCCTTGTAAGGTATTTCCTATAAGACACTTACACTTTCTCATTATATTTCTTTCTCATTAAATCCTTATGAAAAACCTTTCTTCTATCGCCCTAAAATATTTTTCATAGGACCCCTATAGAAACTTTTTTTATAATTGCTATTAAATTTTTTCTTCCTATATAATCACCAAAGTCCAACAGAACCGTTCGAGCTGTGCATCAAAACGTGAGAGAAACGAAGTGCATCCAGAAGCCTATTGCGAAAGATCAGTGTATTAAGTAAACAACATCGTAAAAAGTTGTGACCTCTGATCAGCTATTTAACATTGTATCATTGAGAATGTTTCATCAAAAAAACCTGTGCTTTTGTTGGAAACTAGAGCATAAGAATTTATCAGGAACGATTTCTGATTATTTCTGTAACAAACTCTTCATTGATATCATAATCAGCGTGAATCAAGAAGAGATGCACGTA